TTTTTTTTTTTTTTTGAGTTGGTGTCTCACTCTGTTACCCAGACTGGAGTGGTGGCCGCTCCCAGCCACCACAGCCTTGACCTGCTGGGCTCCGGCGATCCTTCTGCCTCAACCTTCCAAGTAGCCGGAATTACAGGCATGCGCTACCATGCCCGGCTGATTTTTTGATTTATTGTAGAGATGAGGTCTCACTAAGTTGCTCAGGCGGGTCTCAAACCCGTGGGCTCAGGTAATCCACTCACCTCAGCCTCCCAAAGGTGCGGGATTACAGGCTGAGCCACTGAGCCCGGCTGAGAAATTTCTTTTAATGTTCTCTAAATTTGTGACTAAATCATTTTTGCAGTTAAAAAAATGCAAGTACAAATGCAACTTATGTCTCTACAAATGGCCATAATAGCTGTGAATTGCTGCCCCTGAGATTTCCCCAAAAGTTGCTGCATACTATGCATTTATACTATCTTCATGTCCACTCCTCCTACTCTCTCTTTAACCTACCTTTCCAGAGAGATAGCTTTCATCAAGGTTGTTATCATCCACATGCAGTCACATATCTAACATGGTTAATTTTCATACCTCACCTTATATAGATTTTAAGCAGTGCTTGATATGGTTAACTGCTCCTTCATACTTTAATCCTTATCTGAAGCTGGGTATGGTAGCTCATGCCTGTAATCCCAGAAATTTGGGTGGCCAAAGTGAGAGGATTGCTAGAGCCCAGGACTGAGAAACCAGCCTGCACAACATAGTAAGACCTCTTCTCTACAAAAAATAAAAAAAATTAGCCAGGCATAGTGGTGCATACCTATAGTCCCAGCTACTCAGGCTGAGGAAGAAGGATTCCCTGAATCCCAGGAGGTTAAGGCTGTGGTGAGCCATGACTATGCAACCATACTCCAGCCTGGGTGACAAAGGACAGAGTGAGACCCCCAACTAAAAAAAAAAAAAAAAAGCAAAACTTACCCGTAGATATTTCAATATGTAGCTGTAGCTCTAAAATGTAACATCACAAGAATAATAATGCTATCCTCTGAATGTTTGTGTCCCTTCCAAATTCATATGTTGAAGTCTAACCCCCAAGGTGATGGGACTAAAAATTGAGGACTTTGGAAGATGATTAGGTCATAAGGGTTCCACCTTCATGAATGGGATTAGTGCTCTTATAAAAGAGGCTTGAAGGAAACTGTTTGCCCCTTCTGCCGTGCAAGACAGCATGGAAGTCACCATCTATAAGGAATAGGCTCTCACTAGATACTGAACCTGTCAGAGCCTTGATTTTGAACTTCTCAGCCTCTAGAACCAAACCATAATAAATAAATTTCTGTTGTTTATAAATTATCCAATCTAATCTATTTTGTTATAGAAGTAGAAACAGACTAAGATAAACAATATGTGAAACATAATTATCAAATCTAAAAAATGATCAATAATCTCTTAATACCATCAAATATTTAGTTAGCATTCCAATTTTCAATTGTCTTATAAATGTAATTATTTTTCAGTTTAGTTGTTGAGTCAGGATCTAAATACAGTTCATACAGTGTGGTTGGATGGTGCTTCTTTAAAGTTCCTTTTAACTCACAGGTTCCCTCCTTCCTTTTTCTACCTAGGCAATTTCTTTATTAAATAAACTGGATTGTTCATCCAATGGCTTTTTCCTTTTCAAAGCATCCTCTCCTCTTGGTTTCTGAGATAATCCTCTCTCTTTGTTCTCCTACCTCCCTGGACCCTCCTCCTTAGTTTCTGTCAGTAATTCTTCCTGATCACTCTGACCTCTAAACACTGGCATGCTCAGGGTTCTGTCCTCTGCTTACAGTCTTCATTTACTTCAATCCCCAGGTGATTTCGTTCAGTCTAATGGCTTTAAGTACTATCTAAACACTGATGACTCCCAAGCTCTCCCTTGAACCCTGGACTTTTAAACCTTGCTATTCAACATCCACAATTGTTTAGCTAAAAGCATTTCAGACTCAACAAATTCCAAACTGAACTCTAATTCTCCCTTCAAAATCTGCTCCTCCCACTAGTTTCCTCCCATACAAATTAGCTGATAACTATCTTTTTTGGTTTCTTGATGCCAGAATCCCTGGAGTTATCCTTGATCATTCCCTCGTCTCACACTCCCATCTAAGCCCTTAGCAAACCCTGTCACATTTACCTTCACACTATCTGACCACTTTGCCCTACCTCCCTCACTAGCACCCTAATCTAAGTCACTGTCATCTCTTACTTGGACTACTGAAATTGCCACTTAACCGCCTTCCCTGCTTCGACCCTTTATTCTTTTCGGCCTATTTTCCACAAAGCAGCTGGAGCCATCCTCTTCATCTATAAGCCAGATCACGTCCCTATTCTGCTCAGAAACTTCCCATCTCAGAGTAAAAGCTAAAGTCCTTACAACAGCCTATAAAGCCTTACACGATCCTACTGACTTTTTGACCTTCTCTCCCTCCCTACCTCCCTCTCTCCCTCTCTCCCATTCCACACTAGGTCACATTGGCCTCTGTCATTTCTCAGATATGTCAAACATATTCTGATCTCAGGACTTCATGCCTGCTGTCCCCTAAAACATCCTTCTACCGTTTATCCACATGGTTTGCAACCTCACTTCCTTAATGTTTCTGCCCAAGTGTCTTCCCCGAGCTCCCTACCTCTCTTACTTTATTTGTCTCTCCCCCAACCTAAAACATACACCTTTGCTTTGTTTCTTCACCTTCTGACACAGTATTTGCTTGTTTGTCTGTCTTCTCTATCTGATTGTAACCTTGAGAAACGACTTTGTCTACTGTTGTGTCCTCAGTGCCTAAAAAAGCCCTTAGATGAAGTGGGTGTTCAATAAATATTTGCTGAATGAATGAATATGCAAATATGTGCATTAGAATGAAAAGAAAAATGGTCCTTCTGATATGACTGCCTAGTGCTTTGGAAGTTTTTACACAAAAAAGAGAGGGAACAAACTAAGTTGGGAGATTCTTCTCTTTATAAAATTTTATTGTGTTCTCCTAATAGATAGTAGTCAGAGACAGACACCAAGGAGATGATACTGGAATTGGAGATGTCCTCAAATGCCATCTGTTTCACCTCTGAATGCAGGGTCTTTCAGAATGTTTTAAAAGATAGGCTACCAAAGGGTAGAAACTTCATCTAACTCATCTAGACCATGGGAAGTTGTTGATAAAACATTAGACAACCTCTCCTCATAAAAAGTTGAAAATTAGAAACCTTGAGTCAATAGCAATTAGACTAAATGGGATTGGGGATCGCAGTGAGGGGAAAGGAGATAGGCAGAAAGGCTTCTTGTCACTGAACTGACACTTTACCTTGAAAAACCTTATTCATGATCAAGAACTCTTTCCTCAGTCTTTAATCACTTTATTATTTCAATTGAAGGAAATGTAGAAAGGAATAAGTGGCATTTGCACTTCCTATGATCTCTAAACACATCTTCATTTGTGGTACAAATGACAGGTGCTCAAATACATTTTCATTTTTAGAAATTCAAGTTTCCATATCCAGTACAGCTGCCAGAATGAGTGTGGATTTTACTTTCCTTAGCATTGTGAGGAAGGCAAAAGACTTGAGGTGAGAAGAGATACAGGAGGAGAAAATATGGCCCAGTTTCCTTACTTGGTCTTCACTGATTCCTTTTCTCTCTCAAAAAGTATACACAATGTACGCATGCATACATACACACACAAACTGTGGAGGAGTGGGAATCTCAACCTCTTTACCAAGAAAGTAAGATATTACAGAGGTATTATGATGCAAGAGGAGCACAGGAAGAACACTGTGACATTATGAGGTCAGGATTTGTATTGAAATGTTTGCCTCTATGAAATGCATCAGACTTAAGTCAGCTTTCCTTCCTGCTCACATGCTAGTGGCAACTCTTACTCCTCTTCACAGTATGGGATTTTTAAGATCAAAGGAATGAGCCCTAGGCAAAAACTGAGACAGCAGGAAGGCATTGTAACAACTGGAAGGTTTTCCAAATTGGCAAATTTGCAGTATTATTTCTGCACAGAAGTAAAAGCTTCTCTACGTCCCTATGGATATCGGGGAGAACAGGCATTCCAACACTGCACATCAGATGATCAACTTCAAAATGACCTTGAAGAAGTTCGAAGAACTGGTTGAACAAATAGCAGCCCAGAAAAGAGATGAAAGAGCAGGACTAACTATCCAAAAGGAAGGTAAGATGAGTCCTTAAAGGGCAATCTAGTTGGGTCTGTTAGAACTGGAAGGTGTTTTTTGCCATCAGAGAGACACAACAGAACTTAATAGAAAAGACACTGAATGGAGGGCCTGAAGACCTGAGTTATTATTCTTTCTCTATCCCTAAATAGCTAAGTGAACTTTAGAAAATATTTTGTTGTTGTTGTTGTTGCTTTGTTTTGTTTTTCACGTCTCTGAACCTAAATTGTCTCAGTTGTAAAACTAGGGGATTGGATTAATCAACTTTCATGAGTTTTCGGTAAACTCTGCCATTTGATGGCTCGTGTTGACCTGCGACTCTCAGAAGTTCACAGTGACCATTAGCAAGCCCTGTGTGCCTCCCTGCCACCTCTGTACCTGAGGGTATCCTGAGACCATAAGGACTTTCATGAGCAATATAGCTTCCTGCCTCACCATGATCCCACCACCTTGGTCACTGCCCATACAGGAATGATTTTGAGGACGCTGAGGTAAAGAGATTGTGGCAGACAGTGGTCTGCCAGGAGGACTGGCAGCAGAGACCCCAGCAGAGAACTTAAAGTATCCCACCATGGCCAGGGTTCAAGGAAAGTGGTATAGTGGGCAGCTTTAAGGCATTGAGGACAGCAATGAAGAGTAGGGGTAAATAGCAAAGTAAAAGACTAACAGAACAAATTCTGCTGTTGCAGTGAAAGAAGAGGGGCCCATGTAACTGCTGGAGGAACAGTATGGCCAGCCTTTCCGTGTGCCAGGCTGCATAGTCATATGCAAGTGAAAATCTTGACTTTCGATACTCAAACCCAAACCAGTATTATTTGACTAGTGTGTGAAAATGTATAAGTCATTTGAAATAAATATAATTGTGTTCATTTTATTTGTGAAAAATGAGAGGTGGAGATAACATTATTTGCCTAAGTCACTCAACTTCTAAGTATTGAAGTCAAGACTTGGACATTTTAGATATACTCTTTAGTTTATCATGAACTTGGCTGGGCTTTCTACACCACTCAACACAACTCTCCTTTTTCCCTATCAGTTTGTTTTACCTCTGTCTAATTAGTTTTCCAGCCTCTTGCAGCTTTTCTGAATCCTCTACAGGATCTATATTCCTCTCAGCTAAGCTTTCTATACCATAAGAGAAATCAAGGCCAAAACCAACAATTTTCTCAAATTCCCTTTCCTTCACTTCCAAACCATCTAAGGCAGCACCTATCTTTGCTTCTGTCCTCCCTCCCCTTCAAGGATATCACTCTGCTGCGGCAGCTTCAAAATCTTCTTTTTCACTGGATTTGTCCTCTCAGTCTAAAAATATATCAGACGTCATGACCTTGACGTTCTTTTTTCCTTTAAGCTACCACTGTGTGGTTCTCCTTTGCTTCTTCACTAAATTTCCTCACAGCCTCACCACTTAATTTCCAATCGTCTCAAGTCTGGCTTCCCTTATTCCTTTGCTGAAAATGCTCTAACCAAGGTACTTGATAACCTAATACTATTGCCATATTCAGCAAATTGTTTTCATTTTTCAGCTCACTTGGCCGTTTCACTGTATTAACCCTGCTAGCTAGCTTTCTCTGCTTCAAAAAGCTTCCTTCCCTGTGTCTTTCATCATACCATTCTTATTTTCTGCATTCTTTCTCTTTTTCTGCCTGTTTCTCCTTGAACTTTGGCTACTGTGTTCTCTCTGAGTCTTGCAGCATAATTGCCATCTACCTAGGTTCCTAAGCCAGACAGATATCTTAAGTGTTGACATGAGAGAGTGACATCTTTGCTTTCCGATGATTTTTAATACATACAAATTTTGCTTCATGCATAGAATTATTAAAAATATTGTAAAAATTACCTTCGGTCTACATTTATAAAGTACATATAAAACATGAAAGTATTTTGTATTTAGAATTGGGTCCCATCTCCAAGATATCTCATTTTGTACAGCATATACAAATAATCCAAAATCTGAATAAATCTGAAGCATTTCTGTTTTCAAGCACTTTGGATAAAGGATATTCAATCTTTATAACCCTTGACTATGCCATGGTATCTCTCAAGTTATTACAACAGCCTTTTACTATAATGATCCTCCTGCCAAGAGTTATTCCTTTGTCTGTACTTCCACCAAGAATTTTTCTTTTAAAACAGATTTTGATCTGTCATATTCCTGGTTTATCAACTCATCTCTAAAATTCATATATGTTAACTTGACATCACAGTTTGCCTCAACCTATCTTTCCAGCCTCAGATCCCGGCATTTCCACTCAGGTTCCTTCTGTCCTAACACAAACTTTTCAGCACTTCCAAACATATCATTCTCTTAATGACTGATTTTGCACACATTATTCCCACAATGTGGAGTGCCTGTCCTCCTTTTGTGTGTGTGTCTACAGACTCTTGCTCATCTTTCAAATCCATACCAAATATCACTTCTTTACAAAAACTTCAAAATTTTCCCCAAGCAAAACCATCCTCAGAGTTGTTGATGTACTTTGTTGCCATCTCAGGCAATTCACCTGCTGCATTTTAACTTCTTGACAATGATATATATTTGTGGTCATTCCTACCCCTTCTCCTCCACCATTGACCTGTGAGTGTTTTGAAGGCTTTGTAAACCTAGGGCCGGCACTGGGTCTGGTGTCTAGGAGGCATTCCTTAAATGTGTGCTGAATGCACAAGTTGTCCTTGTTCTCATTAAGAAGCTTGAAATCACAAAACCACATTAAAAATTTCCTTTTCCTATGGTTTTTGAGATTTGATAGAGATTAAGTACTGTTTGGCAAATTGCCTTCTATGACAGAAAGCAGTCTGAAAGATTAAGGAGAAAAAAAGAAGTATAACCTTAACTTTTTTCAGGCTGTTGATACTGTCAAACATAAATTCATATTTGTTAATAAGTATTGGAAAATAGGGTCTCGCTACAGGCAAGGGGCTATGAACTAGGAAGAATGTTTTTAATGGACTAGGGTCTACCTAAAAATGATATCAAGTAGACTGCAGGAATGTGTCCAAGCAATATTGCTTTTAAATTTTCTCAATGGCTGGTAGAATTAAAATCAACCCAGGACAGGAAAATCTCATTATTCTCATCCAGTGACATTTACAATGAAACACCTATCTTGTACCATTTGCTGTGAATTTAAAACAGTCAATAACTGTTTAGATATCTCACAGGAATTCCAAACTCAGTATGATTCAAATAGAATGCTTTATTTTCCCCAAGAATCATAGTCCTTTTAAACTTTCCCCTCTTTTGGGAAACAGTATCAACATTTGCTGAGTTTTGAAACCAGAAGCCCGAGTGTTATTCTAGAAGAGGGTTTCTCAACCTTGGCACTACTGACATTTTGGCTGAATAATTTTTTTCCATAGATATATAGATAGATAGATAGACAGAGAGATAGATAGATGTGTGTGTGTGTGTGTGTGTGTGTGTGTGTGTGAGAGAGAGAGAGAGAGAGAGAGAGAGAGAGGGGTGGGGAGGGAGGGAGGGAGGGAGATATGAGATATGAATGGTGCAGAACTGTCCTACATATCCTAAGATATTTAACAGGATCCCAGAGCTCCACCCACTAGATGCCAGAATCACACACAACCCCCTAGTTGTGACTATCAAAAAAATGTTTCCAGTCATTGCCAAATGTCATGTGTGTGTGTGTTTGGGGGCAGGGGTAGGGTGTAAAATCTTCCCTGGATGAGAACCACTGCTCTCAATTCTGGCCTTTTCTTTACTTCTCACTTCTGCCTCCAACAACTTTCAATCCATTAGCAAGTCCTTACATTTCTACTTCCAACTATATCTTCCCATCTTTACTACCATCTCTGGGGTGCTTGTATCATTTACTATAAAATTGGGGACACTTTCAAAGACGGAAGGAGGTATTAAGTTAATTAGTAATTAAGTTGAGAAAAGAGGCAGAAATGAGACTTTCCATGGCTGTCCAAGATGTGTGATCACACTCAGTATCATCCGGCCTAAACCTCCATTTTCTGAAACTTTGGACTAATTACAATAGCCACTCATTGGTTTTACAGCTTTCAATCTGGCCTCCTCACAGCAAATCAAATGCTTTAAAAAAAATTAAGTCAGATTATATCATTTCTCTTTCTAAAACCCTTCAGTGAGAACTGAAAACCCTTCAGTGAGAGCCATCGCGCTTAGAGTAAAACACCAACTTCTGGCTCTAGCCAGCCTCCTTTGCCTCTGGTCTCCTTTCATAGCACTGTCTACAGTGCTCGCCATAGGTACTTCATATTTACCAACCTTCATGGAATATGCCAAGCTCTGTCCAGCATCAAGGTTTTATGTTTATCAGCTTCTGGTTAAATGCTCTTGTCCAGTTTTATACACAGCTGACTTCTTTTGGCTTATCCATTCTCCATTTAATTTTTTTTAGCCACTTCCTTAGGCCTTCCTGAGACCCTCCCCCACCCGCTACCACCATGTAATTCTATCACAGATCTTCATTGGTTCCTTCCTTGTACTTATCTCAGTCTACAATGATTTGTTTACTTTGTTACTGAGGAATGACATACCTACAGTAAAGTTCATAAAGTGCACTAATCTTAAGATTGTGCCTCTGTAGGGCAACCTCTTTCAGGTCCCCTCCCACTGTGGGAACTTTTCTGCCTTCCTAATAAATTCTATTTTCTAAACAAAAAAAAAAGATTGTAGCTCTGTAAATATGAACATTGGTCAACATATCTGTAGCCACCAATCAAGACAAAGGGCATTTCTAGCATCCTAGAAAGCTCTCTCATGCCCTTTTGCAGCAATGCTGCTTCTCTCTTTATACACAGATGACCACTAATTTAACGTCCCTCTCTATTAATTAGCCCATTGTCACAAACTATAAGTTGTTTGTTCACTTGTTGATTTTCTGATTCTCCACTAGAATATAAGTTCACGAAGGGTAGGGATCCTACTTATCTAGTTTTCCTTCTAAGTCCAATGTGTAGCTGAGTTCTGACACATGATAGATGCTCAATATTTTTATGCTATCCAAATAAAAATCTCTGATCTTGTCTATAAAGTTTAAGAAGTCCTTGCATCTAACTCATTCTTGCCCTTAAATCCAATAGTTTTACCCCAGGGAATCACCAAATTTGACAAAATCAAAATTAAAGCATTGGTATACGTGTGTGTTTACATGGAATCAAAGAACCAGTTAAGAATTTCTCTTTGAACACTTAGACTGTCCTCTCAATATGTATTCTAGCAGAGACTCCAATTGGTAAACTTTTTTACAATGGAAAACAAGTAATTCATTTTCCTATCTTTGTATTCCTGAAAAAAAAAAAACTCCTAAAATAGCTTAAACAAAAGCTATGAAGAAGCTACAAACACTAAAGTAAAATATTTTCTTTTGATTTAATAACATTTTAGCTAATGGCCTAGTTCTGTTTCTAAGGACAAGATATTTAAAATCCATTTGTATGCTGAAATAAGAAAATAAAAGATAAGGAAAAAATTTAAAAGCAGCTAAAATACAAAGATGGTCCTTAGAATTTGATGAAAATATACTGTGCTTTCTTCAATGCAGATGCAATTGATTATGACAAGTTTTATGCATCAGTACAGGAACTCTTTGGTCCAGAAGTGAAGAATCAAGATGTGAAATGCTATTACAGGAAACTCTGCAACAGCCCTGAGGCATCAATAGACTGGTGTGAGGTAATCTCTTTTCATGTTTGTAATATGAAATCCAGGTGTTAATTTTTCTTAGTTCAAAATAGGTAATTAAAAGAAAGTGTTACTCCCACAGGGGTTAAAACCGATAGTGTGTATATATAGCATGTTTCAATGCCTACACCCATTAAGACATGGCCAATTGAAAATAAGCAAACCGGGTAACTGTTTAACTGTGTTATTAATAAGTAACTCTGAAGTGTGTTTAGATCACTGAAAAAAACTGCCAACTGATAAAACTATACATGCCATTAATGACAACCAAGATTTTAATGGCTTTCATTTCATTCCATATAAGGTATTTATTTTCAATAGGATCAGTGTATACATCCAAATTGTTAATATAAAAAAAGTGTAGCATCCGAATTGTTAATATAAAAAAAGGAAGAAGCTATAATTGACCACCTCTTATAATCACTGAGTTGTTTTCTGATCAGCACAGTATTTTTTTTAATTGCACACATGCATACAGAGTAATTAAATAACTTAAAAAGCATCTGTCTTTCAAAAAATAGTAGAAATAGTAGATAAAAGAAAAAGTAGAGATTTAAAGGGTTTGAATATCATATTTTACAAACTGATTATATATAGAACTTTGAACATAAGACATAGGAAAAATATATCTCTCTAAAATATATATGGAGCCATTACAAAATTGAACATGTGTTGGTCAAAAAGAACATGTCAATAAATTTCAATATAATAAAATTATAATTAAAGATATAATTATAGTAAAAGATAGCTGAAGTCCCTCAAACCAACCAAGTCATAAATTAATCAATTAATTTGGAGAAATATTGCAACAAAAAAGCTTTAACCTTAAGTCTTTAAGAAATACATAAATCACATGTTGTATAAATTTTTCTACAACTTAGGAAAAGCTGAAAAGTCATCCAACTTATTTTATCAAGCTAAAATAACACTGAATTAAACAAAGATAAAATCTCAGGGAACTATAAGCCAATATTACTTATGAATAGAAATGCTATGCTCCTAAATAAAATTTAAACAAGTTGAATTTAGCAGTGCCTTGAAAAATCATTTCCAAGTAGAATTTACTTCTACAAAGTTAGGATGGTTCAATATTAGAAAAGTCAGAAACATATTTCATTTAACAAGTTAGGGGAAAAAACTATGGCCCATGGGCCCAATCTGGATAGTCATCTGTTTTGTAAATAAAATTTATTGGAACACAGCAATACTCACTCATTTATATATTGGCTATGGTTGTTTCCATACTACAATAGCAGAATTGAATGTTTGACAGAGACAGAAGGGCCTGCAAGCCTAAAATATTTACTATCTGACCTTTTTCTTTTTTTTTTTGAGTTGGAGTCTCTCACTCTGTCACCCAGACTGGAGTGCAGTGGCCGCTCCCAGCCAGCGCAGCCTCGACCTGCTGGACTCCGGCGATCCTTCCGCCTCAACCTTCTGAGTAGCTGGAATTACAGGCATGCACTACCACGTCCAGCTGATTTTTTGATTTATTGTAGAGATGAGGTCTGGCTGCCCAGGCGGGTCTCGAACCCGCGGGCTCAGGCAATCCACTTACCTCAGCCTCCCACAGGCGCAGGATTACAGGCTGAGCCACCGAGCCCGGCTTATCTGACCTTTTTCAAAAAATGTTTGCTCTCCTGACCTCACAGTGAAGTAAAATTATAATTAAACAGATGTTTGATAAAAATTCAATAGCCGTTCTTGCTTTAAAAAGAAAAAAAAAATCTTAGCAGAATAGAAATAGTAGAAAAATTTTTTAACTTGATTAAGGAAACTAGGGAACTGACTATATTAGTTTTCTATTGCTACTATAACAAATTACCACAAATTTAACAAAGAAGCACATCTTATCTCACAGTTTCCATGGATCAGGAGTCTGTGAACAGCTCATCTGGGTCGTCTGCTCAAGGTCAGATAAGGCTGTAAACAAGTTGTTGGCTGAGATGCGTTCTCATTTGGAGGATTGACTAGGGAAGAATCTGCTTCTAAGCTCATTCAGGTTGTTGGCTGAATTCATTTCTTTGCTGTTGCAAGACTGAAGTTGTCATCTTCATATTGACTGGAGACTAGGGTCTACATGTGTGTATTTACATAGAATCAAAGAACCAATTAAGAATTGCTCTTTGAACACTTCTACCTTCCACTCAATGTGAATTCTGTGAATAGAATCTACAGTTCCTGGACATATGGCCTCTTCAAAGCCAGCGAGAGAATCTTTTTTTCTATACTCTGCTGAGATGAAGTCTAACATAATGTAACATAGTCATGGGAGAAATAACCCATCACATATGACACATTGTTTGTTAGAAGCTAGTAACAGGTTTTAACATACTTAAGGAGTAGACATTATACAAAAGTGGACTCATGTGAGAGGGAAAAGGAGGTTACTTTAGAGTGTGTCCACCAGAGGGACATACCAATAACATATTAGGAGGGATCATATTTAATGGTGAAATACTAGAAACATAACCATTAAAGTCTAGGACAAGAAAAGAATGGCTTGCTGATATCTACACTTTGCCATTACTCTTCAACTGGTTGTAAGCAATGCAAAGAGAAAAAAACAATAAAGATAATCAATATGTAATCAACTATTAAAAATACAAATTTGTAGATATTTTGCCAAGAATATCCAAGAGAATTGCATGACAAACTATTAAAACTAAAAAAGAGTTCAAAGAAAATAAACATGAATGAATCGATAACTTTCACAAACATCAGCAATAATTAACTCCTCTACCTCACCAAAACTAACAGAAAAAAATTTCATTCACAAGAGCAGCAAATATTATGGGATAAATCTATTAAGGAACATACAAGGCTATGAAGCTTTGCTGAAGGATGATAGATCAGGATAATAATTGAGAGGCTCATTTGTAAAGATCCCAACAGTTCCCATATTAATGTATACTTTAGTGAAATTCCAATAAATGGATTTTTTAAATTAATGCAGCTATAACTAATAGACGCTTGAACACATCAGCAATTGAATTTCAATACATCCCATGTCTTTTTGATAATTCTTATCAATATTTCAGATTGCTTGTAGAAACTGAAAACGATCCTCACAAACTTATGTTGAGTACTAACAAACCCTTAAATATCTACAGATTAGCTTCGAGTCTGCTGTGGGGCATATTTCTAAAGCATGTTCATTTTTGCAAGAAATGAAAAGTAAAAACATCATTTCACTTATATATTTACTTGACGATAAATCAAAAGTTTAAAACATCAACACAATGTATAAGAAAATATATAATCTAGGAGAAGATAGAAGTAGAAAGAGGGGTCAGAGTATAAGGCACTTTATGGCTCATGTTCAAAGATAATGATTCTGATGACCAAGCTTACTCCTTTTACTTCTTCTTTCTTTTCTTTTAGAAGAGGCTGTTGTTTCCACATAAATGTTATTTTACCAGAGCTTTACAAGGTTTTCATACCCAATTTTCAAAGATGTCTCGGATTTTGAGCTGTAGGCTTCTGAGAGATTGCCAGCTTGGTTAACTGAATTTTATATAGTATTGATCTGTCTTTCTGACTTTTATTATGAGTTATTACTTACATAGCTAAAATTAGAGTGAATTCTACTCTGGGTACACTAGAACTAGACTTCAGAGCACCTATTGGATATTGCTAAAGACAGAAAAACTGATACACTGAACAAAGGTTGAATGGGATTTAGACAATTCAGGTAAAACCAGATATCTGTGTTAAGAAGACATTCAAGGCATAGTGGCATGCATCTGTGTTCCTTACTACTTGGGAAGCTGAGGCAGGAGGATTGCTTGAGCCTAGGAGTTTGAGACTGCAGTGAGCTGTATTAAAACCAGATAGCCATATTAAGACATTCAAGGTATGGTGGCATGCACCTGTGATCCTAGCTACTCGCGAAGCAGAGGCAGGAAGATCACTTGAGCCTAGGAGGTTGAGACTGCAGTGAGCTGTCACCACGCCACTGCACTCCACCTTGGACAACAGAATGAGGTCCCTGTCCCAAAAATGAGTGAATATCACTTTAAAAAAAAAATTGAAGTCTCACTCCGTCACTCATGCTGAAGTGCAGTGGCATATCATGGCTCATCTCAGACTCAACCTCCTGGGCTCAGCCAATCCTTGTGCCTCAGCCTCCTGAGTAGCTGGGACTATAGGTACACACCACCCCACCTGGCTAATTTTTAAAATTCTTTTTGTAGAGACGAAGTCTTGCTATGTTACCCAGGCTTGTCTTTCACTCCTGGGCTCTCCTCTCACCTTGGCCTACTAAAGTGCATGAGCTACCACATCTGGCTCACATTTATATATATAAATACACACACATACACACTATATATGTATATATATAAAATATTGTACATATATAATAATGTAATGTATTTTTATTTATATACATATTTTTAAAAGAGAAGATATTCAAAGAATGACTAAGAAATTTTAAATTTATCCATAGTGAAGGTATAACATAAAATCTCATAATATATTAACAGGAAAAACTATCATCCTTAAGGCTGACCTTAAGAAACTTTGACCTGTGTGTCACAAACAGTTGTCACTAGCCACATGGAGTTACTGAATACAGGAAATGTAACTAGTCTGAACAGATATGTGCTATCAGTGAAAATGCACATCAGATTTCAAATACATAGTATAAAAAATGTAAAATATCTCACTAACAACATTGTTTATTGACTACATATTGAAATCATATTTGGGTATGTTGGGTTAAATAAAATATATTATTAAAATTAATTTTCTAGTTCCTTTAATATTTTTTATGTGACTACTAGAAAACTTAAAGTTTTATAGGTAGCTCACATTATATTACTATTGGACAGCCCAGAAAAGATCAAAATAGAAATAGAAGAAATTTCTCTTGATCAGTAAAGACAGATCTTTGCTGGCAAACAGTTGAAAGATAAGAGAGGTCTTATCTGACCACATTAGATAGAAGAAATCCAACTTTGACTTGTGGGATAAGAAAATTCTACTTT